AAAAATTCACAAAAATATTGCAAAAATAAATAAAAAAAGATATGGAATGTGACTTGGCCATGTTTTAGTCAAAAACACTCATCTGCTAATTGCTAAATGAATAAATGTAATATTGCTGAGAACGTCTTCATTCTCAAAGCCTGCTTTTATGGTACAAATTCAAAAATCAGCAACCTATAACAAACCAAAATGCAGTTCATGTTGTCTTCTGTTCAAGTTGATCTAATAATAGACATGGAATCCATTCTTATGGTGTGTGGTCTCTGCCCACTTATCGCTGGACCAGCTAGCCAGGCCGGAGCTTTTTTCACACCATGATATAAACCGAGCAGTGAGAAAATTCCCACCTCGCTCAGGAGCACAGCTGTGTCTGCTCTGCTGGTTTATCGCTGCTAAATAGTTACAGTGTGAGAATCCAGAATCTCTTCCGCGTTGGGAAAAAAATCACACAAGGCCGTGTTAGTGTGAACATCCAGATTGTTGACATGGCCGAGTGAATCATTCGTTTCAGCGCTCCGAAAAAACACAGAAGAGTTTCCTCTGCAATTTTTGCTTTCTCTTTGTCTTCCTTCTCTGTTTCCTTCCTTCCTTTCTTTTTTTATCTTTCTCATCTGGATGCGAGTCATAGTTCTACCTTTGAATCTTGTTTGAACTGAATGAGTTTACTTTCCTTGAGAAAAGAGTGAAGCTTAACTAAACTAAAAGTTGCATCCATACTAGGGCTGCACGATTATGACAATTCATAATTGTCGATTATTCCCTTGAAATTGTAATTGCGATTATTAATTACGATTATCACAATTTACATTGAATGATGTTTATACCATTGTTTGATGCAACTGCATGCCGTATGTTTATATGAAAATAAACAAGCTGAAAACACTAACTGAAAAACTTTTAGTGCTTTTCTATAGGATTAAGCCTCAAATGTCAACTATACATCGGATTTGTTTCTTCTTTAAATTATAAAAAAGTAAAAATATGAATGGTATTATAATGTTATACTAAAACTAAAATTAAAATAATGGGAAAAACCCTTAAGAAAAAACGCACGCAGAATAACATAAGTGGACTTTGAACGATTAATTGCCGCTTTGAACGATTACGTAATTATGGCATCCATAATTGTAATTGCGATTAGAAATTCGATTAATTATGCAGCCCTAATCCATACTAAATGAACTACATTTTTCGGTAGTGTGACAGTTTCTCAGATGTTTTCTACTGTAGCTTTTCCAGTATCTAGCTGCTTTCTTCAATCAGATGTGGTATAGTCTAACAAAATGCGGACAAAACTGTTTTTAATGCATACTGTGCATGCAGCCTTATATCCTAATAAGCTGAGACAATAATCACTCCCATAGAATATCCTTTCTTGATTGCAAAGTACTGGAAAGCTCATTTGATTTTTAGCAAATCATTCTGAAGATTCCTCTCAAAGAACCAGTTCAAAAGAAATGATTCACTGATTCATTTGAATTATCAAAGTGTTCACAGACTCCTTGTGTGACATTGCATTTGTTTTGAAAATATGCATGCAGTTCAATACGGTTGTGTATTATTATGTTAAAGAGGTCATATGATGCTTTTTTTAAAGGTCATTATTTTGTGTATTTGGTGTAACAGAATATGTTGACATGCTTTAATGTTCAAAAAACACATTATTTTTCAAATACTGTACATTATTGTAGGTCCTCTATGCCCGCCTCTCTCAAACGCTTAGTTTTCTACAAAGTCCCTCCTTCCGACAAGCGCAGTCTGCTCTGATTGGCCAGCTGACCCACTGCATTGTGATTGGCCGAACACCACAAGCACTCGTCGGAAATGTAATGCCCTTTACCATAATCGCAAGCTTCATCTTTCAAAATAAATGTAAAGACAGAGCCCGAAAGGGGAACAAAGTCACGTGACAGACACAGTGATGAAGCTGGTTTGTGTTTGCAGTACACAAGCCACGGTTAAGACAGCTGACTCCACTGTGATGTGAACCCCCTCTCTCTCTCTCTCGCGCTCTCTCTCTCATGATTCAGAAGCGCCGGATTGTCATAGCAAAGTCAGAATTACCTCCTCTCCTAGGTTCACGAAATGGTCGTCCATAAAATGCATTGCTGGTTCTGTTCTGTGCTTTTGCATTCGCACTGAAACACACAGCGTCTCCCTGACATGGCTGCTTCAACACTAACTGCGGTTACTGAAACCACGCCTTCTTTCTTTGCGTGCACATTTGGGCAGCATTATGCAAATATTTCCACATAGTGAGGTAGATATGTGGGGGTGTGTTAGAACAAGCCGTTTTAGGGGGGCGTGGCAGAGTCTTAACTTTGATAAAGAATATCTCTTTGGTTTTGAGACTTTAGTCTTTGCAACTTCAGGGATCTTATCTATGCACAATCAGCTTGTAACACTCCAAAGAGAAAGGAAAACTTGAAATCGCATCGTATGACCCCTTTAAATTCAGTTCGTTCATAGTTTTTGTATGTATTTAGTTTCATTAGTTGTGTTTAATTTAAATTTGCTGAGTTTGAGTCCAGCTTGGGTCATTTTTTTTGATCCATCCATTCTTTATCCTCATAATTTCCTGACAATTCTCCATTGTCTTCTAAATAAAAGAGACAAAAGCCTCCAAAAATTACATTTTATATTTTGATTCTGATTGTTGTATAATTCAAAAGTAAACAAAGTGTAACTTTAAATTGATGGAATCATTTTCTTTTCTCAGATGAGCTGCAGACAAACATTCAGAGGTCAGATCATGTTGTGCATCACTGTTTAAGTCTGTGTTTGGGTATGATGGCACTATAAACCTGCTCTGCAGGGTCAAGTACACTGAGCACATTTTACACAAACACGCGTACTATAAACTCCAGCCTAATCCTCAAGCCATTTAAACCTTTATGTCCCTGTTCTTCTAAAGGGAAACATCTGGTCACTTTGAGCTTCTGGGTCTGATCATAAATTCAGAGTGAAGTTTATGTTTGACTTCTTCTGTGTCGTGATGGCCTTAGCACTGGAGCTCAGGCTGGAGTACTCATTAAAACAGAACTGGATGAAGATAAAGTTGGACATGGTAACTTTCTCCGTTATTCCTAATATGGAAAAAGGGGAGATGAACACGGTTCAGTCTTTTGAGAGGTCAGGGCCAGTTCCATTGTGTGAGGTCTGAGGATAAAGAAATCTTGGACATCTGGGGATGTAGATCAAACAAAGTGATATTGTGGCTGAGTAATAAGTAGTCATTTGGCAGACACTTTTATTATGAAGAGAAACAGATTACGGGGGGGGGGGGGGGGGGGGATTTTTTGCATGAATTTTTGGGTTCATGCAAAAAATGTAAATGTAGTTTTATCATTTGCTCACCCTTATGTTGTTCCACATCAGTTTTGAAAAAGTTAATTCAGTCCAGAAAGGTGGTTCATGCACTATATTTCAAGTCTTCTTATGCCATACAATAGCTTTGTGTGAATAACATACCATATATCTTGTTGTGCAGAAGCTCAAATTTCACACTGTGGTCTGTTCTTCATAGCTATCATATGGCTTTACAAGACCTGCAGTGCTGCATTACCTTTATGGTGCTTTTTGGAGCTTCTCATGCCTTGATTAATTTGGTTTCACTGCATGTAAAGGAACTGTTTGAGCATTTTTTACTTTCTTCTTTCACATTGGTTATAGCTCATGAATTGGCCTTTTTGGTGTTTAAACAAACAACCTTTGGTTCCTATCCTAGATCTTTTCATACTACACCACCACACTTTGGTTTTTGTAAAAACAACTGTTTACCCTTGAGAGTAAAAAGAAAAGTTCATCAGGTTATGATATTAGATTTGACTAATTTTGTTGCCTTAGCAGTATGGCTTAGTCCTTGTGAAGAGCATCTCTGTTTTTCCACTATTAAAATGCAATATTCCTTTGCAGTCGCTTTCACTTGTAGATATACAGATCCACTTAATTGAATGATATTACTCGTAATGCACATTGCGAACAAGGTGCTTGTGCTTTGTTTTCTCTCTGTAAAGTGATTCACATATAAAAGAACCTAATAGTATAATGTGATAGCTCATTGCTTTTATAGCTGTTTTATCTGTCTACATGATGCTTTGCATGTTGACTCATGCTGCTTTGTACTGCTGGAGTTTATGAGGCTTATGCGAGTGTTGTAATGGGTTATAAGATCATACAGTGCTGGCATTATGAGTCTTACTGCACAAACACACATTGACAATCCCACTTCTCATTTGTTGTAGTAAATTTGGGGACGTTAAGATTTCTAAATTTTTTTTTTTGAATAATTTCTTATCCTTACTAAGGCTGCAGTTATTTGAAATGTACAGTAAAAACAATAATGTTGTGAAATTTTACTACAATTTCAAATAACTGTTTTTCTAAATATATTGTATATTTTAAAATGTATTTTATTCCTGTGATGGCAAAGCTGAATTTTCAGTAGGAATTACTCTTTAGTGTCACTTTATTTGAAATTTTCATTTGTAACAGTGTAAAAGTTTTTACTGTTGTTTTTTTAATTAATGTAATGCATCCTTGCTGAATAAAGGTATTTATTTCTTTAAAAAAATGAATGAACCCAAACTTATGAGTACTAGTGTAACTGTGCAAAGTATAATCAAAGCCTTGATTGTGATTCATTTCTTGGAGATTTTATGCACCAGTACAGATACTTTGCATATTGCTACTGGTCTTCAGTGGGAGGTCCAATGTAACCTGTTAGTCAGGAGTGTACTTAATACATTAACATTTTAGTTTGAATACATCACACATCTCATGTGACATATGGCTGCAAATAGCCCTGGGTGGTGGTATGATTTTCAGTTGTGTTGTCATGTTGTTTTGCGTTGAGCTCTGTCCCAGCATAACCATCCACATTTTCACTGAACTAAGAAATTATTAACAGTGTCTATTTTTTATTATTTGTAGCTTTGATGTCACGCATCCAAATTGTCTTGTTTTTTTCTCATCCTAAATTTTAGTTTTCTCTTGCACAGGGGGTTGTAGCTAAAGCGAGACATATTTGACTGAATGGGCCTCTGGCTATGATGGCCCCACGTAAGCGAGGAGGGCGGGGCCTGTCATTCCTCTGCTGCTGTCTAAAGAAGAGCGACCATCCCGAGATCACCTACCGCCTCCGTCATGACAGCAACTTCACACTGCAAACCATGGAGCCCACCCTGCCCATGCCCCCCATCGAGGAACTGGATGCCATGTTCACTGAACTGGTGGTATGTTTTGTACCATGAACGCCATACTCTTTCTTTTGTTTTCCTTCTTTTGTTTTATTTATTTCCCAAACTCTTAACCAAAGGATGGACGGGTAGGTAGATGGATGGAATGATGGATGGGTAGTTACTGTAGATTGATAGCTGAGTGGGCAGGTAGATGATGGATGGATGGATGGATGGATAGATAGGTAAATGGATGGCTATGTAGATAGATATGTAGAAGAAAATGTAGGTAAATGTAATAGATTGGTGCGTATGTAGATGATTAAACAGACGGATGAATGGATGGGTATGAAAATGTTAGAAGAATGGATGGATGGATGGATGGATTAATAGATGGGAAGATGGATGAGTAGTTATATAAATGGATGGTTGGGTATGTAGATGGTTAGAAGGATGGATGATAAATAGATAGATGGATAAATGGATAGATAGGTATATGGATAAATAGATAGGTAGATGGATGAATAGATGGATGGGTAGGTACTAGGTAGGTATATAAATAGATGGACAGATGGATGGAAGGTTAGGTTGATTGGTAGTGGGTGGATGTATGGGTATATAAAGCACTCATTGTAGTCTAATTTTCTTTTGGTTTATGTATTTTATTCAACTTTCTATTTGCTGTAAAAATAATAGTTGTTTCAACTTAAAAATATAAGTGTTTTAAGTTTAGTCAACTCAAATATCCAAGTTGTCACTTAGTAGTACATCTAACATTTCAAGTTGGCTAAACTTAAAATTTTAAGGCAGCACATACACTAAAATAGATTTTTGTTACAGTGTAGATCTTTAGACACAAGCTACTTTGAAAGTCAAATCTGGTCTTTGGTTTTGTCAAACATTATATTGGAAGGCATGTTAAGGATAACTTATTAAAACAACACTTGTGTTTATATCCTGTGATGCGTTTTTACCATTGCATTTTTTGCTAAGACAGAACATACAGAGTTCATAAGCATGCAAGCCCACATGGCCAAAAATCACAAATGGAGCCTGTTAAGTGGGTTCATTCACAATAATCCCATCGGAATAGTTAGAAAATGCTTGTTCTTCAGTTGAGCACTGCTTTGCTCTACCATTCCTCCATTTGTGGAGTGAATCAGTGCTTGTCTTGGACTCCTTAATAGAGGTCTACATGGGTCCAAAAATTTGTACCCGAAGAGACCTGTAAATGTGCTACACTGAACCGACCCGGACCCGTCTATTATTTTGAAAGTTGGACCCAGGCCCATGCAGAACCGAGAAATGTCAAAAATGTACTACCCGGAACCGACGCAGACTGTCAATTATTTGAAAGATGGACCCGAACCCGGCCGGGAAGACAGACCCGACTGGACCCGATCGGCACATATTCCACTGCAAATTGCTATTAACAAGTCTATAAACAAGTTGCGAAAATTAAACTTTTTGTTTTACCTAATGTAAGAAGCCTTCTCCCTTGTACCTGACTGTGATGCACACAATCCTCCTTGCCAAGAAAGTTCCATCCATGTTATTCCTCTCTTGCCAATTGAAATGCGTAATCCACTCATTATTCCAGTTTCAAAAGTCCACTTGCTGTCACGGTGACGGATGACAAACAGTATCTCGAGTCAACTTGCATTATAATTTAGACTGTTTGCCCATTTAGATTATAATAACGATTGCTCGTCCAGTGCCATGGCTGCTGATGTTAGCTTTACTTATTTGCTGACATCTCTGTGCTCTCTGAGCCGAGTCTGAGCAAAAATTTTAGATATAACAACAAGACGGTTCATTCATAATATTATTTTAAAAAATAATCAATAATAATAACTCGCATCACTCATGAAGGGATCCATTATCACCGTGCGTGTGCATTAACTCCGCCCACCCAGCCTCTGATGACGTCGCTCTGTTTTTTTTTTCTTTTTTTCACCTTATTTCAAATTACCGACTCTTTTCTCATCCTAATTTTACAAGTTGAAAGTTCCAAAACAACACACGCACAGCGCTGACTGAGTCTGATAACGGCCGGGTGTTCTCGGAGTCCAATCGACTCGGGTATTACACACAATGTTAAACAGACCCGGACCCGGCTGACCATTTAAAATATAGCCCCGAACCCGTATGGATCCCGGGTCGGGACCTGGGTCCTCGGGTCTCGGGTCCTCCGTGTAGACCTCTACTCTTTAATATGGGGAATCCAAGCATTTTCTGCTAATGGTCCAGTAAAGAGTGTTAGACAGTGCATGTTCCCTCATTAGCTCTGCAGACTCCATTGAGTAGGAGAACTTCTGTATGTCTCATGCCCACCAGCGCGTGACCAGCAGGCATTTGGCACAGATGGGCTCATGGATGACTTGCATGCTCCAGACTCCGTCCCAAACACAGCCTGTCCCCTGCTGAGTCTTGAGGACTCACAGTGAGTCACAATTGAGACATCAATCAGTGTCATGTTGACTTGATTTAACAGGAAAATGCTTCTAGCAGGCTTTTGATTATGTGTCGATTTGAGGTGAGAAAGCAGTCCTAATCATGTAGTTGAAAGATAGCTGCTTCTATCTAAATGGCGTTTAGTGAGTGTGAGGGATAGCAGAACAAAATCTCAGGTTCAGGTTTTTCCTGCAGTGACATAAAGTGTCTGTGAGAGAACAGTCTGGACAAGATCAGATTTTGACCTGACTGCTTCTGCAATAGATGTTGTGTCTGGATGTGATGTTCTCTCTCTGGAATCTCTGCTCAAATATACATGAGTACTTATGAGTTGAATTATACGATTTTCCTGTATTTTTCATTCTTTTTATCCTCATTATTTCCTTATGCAGCCTGTTAAAATGGTCTCGGGACCTGCTCGTTGTATGTGTCTCTCACATGATGTTAATTAACTTGTGCCTGAACATCTGGACTGAATATGACCAACTCGGGCCAGAACTGCATCATGGGAATGCACGGAGGTCACAGGAGTGTACAGGCATTAATTGAAGGTTTACATGACTAAATCTTTTCTTTGCCGTGAGGAAACAAGGACTCTCTATCTCACACAGAATTGTGGGAAATGAACCCCCGGTTGAGGGTCAGTGATATCCAGAGGCTGATGTCAGAATTTAAGTCATGTTGGTTTTGTCAAGCCTTATAACTGACTGGATAGGATGCCTGTGCCGTGTGTGCCAAATATTATTATATATTATATTGTATATCATGTATATTCTTTTGAGCAGTCAATGCAATCTATCTATCTATCTGTCTGTCTGTCTGTCTGTCTGTCTGTCTGAAAAATTGAGCAATCATAGTTTGTAAGGAATTATTCTATTCTATTCTATTCTATTCATGTTAGTATTTATATTGTATTTGTATTATATTTCAAATAAGCAACCTAAAGTGTAAATTCTAGTTATTTACGTATTAGAATGTGACGAATTACAACTGTTTTGGTGTTGGAGTTAATTGGATTTGAAATGACAAAGTATGCATTATTTTAAAACCTCTCATCTCCTTCTCAGGATGAGCTGGATCTCACAGAAAAACATAGAGAGGCCATGTTTGCCCTTCCTGCCGAGAAGAAATGGCAAATCTACTGTAGCAAGAAAAAGGTAAGTAATTGATACTAGATGGGGCTGGGCAGGGACTCCCATCACAGATGCCTTTTCCATTTTCTGAAAGACCTGAACGTATAGCCTGGCATTGACTATGCATAGCAGTTTCCTAAAACAACTCCTGCGGAGATATTTCATCTGGCTTGACCGTGGAGTTTGAAACTGAACAGCTAAATGTATGAACAGTCGTACTGTACATCCAAAAAAGGACCTGATGTAAACGCTGCTGCTCTAGCACAGGCTTGGCTTTGGGACAGAGAAGTGGTGTTGAGTGCAAGGGTTTATTTTAACAGTCCGTGTGATTTGGGTCTGAGGAGTGAGAGGTAACAGAACCCAGGCTGCTCTGACACACTCTGTAAACTCTTGTTTATAGGAGGCATTTACGCCAGTGGAACTAAAGAGCAAACCACACAGCAGTGGTCTGAGGGTTCTCTACAGCTGCTGGAGTGTATGACCAGTTACCTGGTCACGACCCACCAGGGGAGCGCTCTTCAGCTGCTGACCTATTGTCCTCTAAAATACTTTAAAAAAATAATACTGTCAATCATTATGATGTTAGGAATGAACTTTATTCTCATTCATATATTAAAGCAAACGTTTATGTTGATGTTCTGTGTGATGGATCAAGGCTTTGTAAGCTTATACACTGGTAGAGATGGAATTTCAGTTAAAATTTTTATAGCTTATGTCTGGCTTAAAGGGATAGTTCACATCAAAAATTTTATATTCTGGCACCATTTACTCACACTCATGTCCCTCCAAACCTGTATGATTTTGGTTCTTCCATGGAGCACAAAATAAGATATAAAAAAATAAATAGTATTTTTAGTCAGAGTGAAAGTCAGTGGGATTCAGATTTCAAAATGTGTTCTTTTGTGTTCCCTAGAAAAAATACAGACAGACTCATCAGATTTGAAGTCTTGTTAGTAGGGATGTAACGATTAACCACGAGCCGGTTGAAAATCGATTTAAATATGTGACGATTCAAATCGTTTGAGATGCTAAACAAATCGTGATTCAATTAGGGGTAGGGTTTGCCCCACTGTATGTCTGAGGGGAACTTACTGTCTTTCGATGGTATTTTTTCTTTTCATCTTGCTTCTGTATAATGTAGGGATGCACCGAAATGAAAAATCTTGTCCGAAGCCGAAACCGAACAAAATAAAACACTGGGCCGAATACCGAACACTTTGCCAATTTTTTTCACCATTGCACAAATTAAATAGCCAAAATGTGCTTTTTACTGTTTTGTCTTGCTTTTCAAAGAAAAAATCAATTACAAAACAACAATTTAAAAGTATTTAACACTGAACATTTTTAACATTCTAGCAGACATTATACCAACAATGCACAATTTAACTTAAAATTAATAAGTTAGTAAAATAATATTTTTGGGCCATCAGACCCCCTTCTTGAATCAGGCGTTTATTTTTTACTATACAAATAAAAGCAGCCTTGCTGAGCAGAAGAGCCTTCTTTTAAAACATTAGAAAGTATTACAGATCCCAATTTGAACACTATGTGTGAATGTTATAATAAATGTATTAACAGAGCTGTTGAAATTATTATTATCATTATTATTGTCTTACTTTTTATTTTATTTTACAGAACAACAGTAAAATCACAATACTAACATTTATGAATGTTGATGGAGTTCTTGCTTTTTCTTTTATTTTGGCAGAAACGCGCAGGAAGACCTCAGCGCTTCTTTTTGTTGATAGAAGATTTATCAATGAGTCTCATTACGAGTACGTCGCACGTATCACATTGTCACGTGCCTTGTAAAAAATCATAAAAATGTGACTTGAGCAACTGACGAGTAACGCTGGTTCAGCGCAGATTTTCCTCGCGCTTTGGACTTTGAACCCTGGCTAACAAGCAGATCCGCCGCAAGCTCGTGCAGCTCTGTCAGAATACATGCAATTTGTGCGTGTATTAGAAAACATAACGTTCTGCAGTTTATTTACTAATTGTTTAAGGCCATTTCGCGATTTCAATCATCATACAGTAACTAGCAACAATCACACCTTCCTCCAACACTTTTTGTACTATTTTCGGCCAAATAATTTCAGTTACCGAACATTCGGTGCATCCCTAGTATAATGCATATTAAAGTTCATAAGTGCAGCGCTGCTTTGTTTGGTCACGAGTGGAGGACAGAGGAGCCTCTTAAAGAAGAAGTTACAGGTCTGTGAGAGCCAGAAATCTTGCTTGTTTGTAGGTGACCAAATACTTATTTTACCGAGGAATTTACCAATTAATTCTTTAAAAATCCTACAATGTGATTTTCTGGATTTTTTCCCCGCATTTTGTCTCTCATAGTTGAGGTATACCTATGATGAAAATTACAGGCCTCTCTCATCTTTTTAAGTGGGAGAACTTGCACAATTGGTGGCTGACTAAATACTTTTTTGCCCCACTGTATGTCTGAGGGGAACTTACTGTCTTTCGATGGTATTTTTTCTTTTCATCTTGCTTCTGTATAATGTAGGGATGCACCGAAATGAAAAATCTTGTCCGAAGCCGAAACCGAACAAAATAAAACACTGGGCCGAATACCGAACACTTTGCCAATTTTTTTCACCATTGCACAAATTAAATAGCCAAAATGTGCTTTTTACTGTTTTGTCTTGCTTTTCAAAGAAAAAATCAATTACAAAACAACAATTTAAAAGTATTTAACACTGAACATTTTTAACATTCTAGCAGACATTATACCAACAATGCACAATTTAACTTAAAATTAATAAGTTAGTAAAATAATATTTTTGGGCCATCAGACCCCCTTCTTGAATCAGGCGTTTATTTTTTACTATACAAATAAAAGCAGCCTTGCTGAGCAGAAGAGCCTTCTTTTAAAACATTAGAAAGTATTACAGATCCCAATTTGAACACTATGTGTGAATGTTATAATAAATGTATTAACAGAGCTGTTGAAATTATTATTATCATTATTATTGTCTTACTTTTTATTTTATTTTACAGAACAACAGTAAAATTACAATACTTCTTGCTTTTTCTTTTATCTTGGCGGAAACGCGCGTGCAGGAAGACCTCATCGCTTCTTTTGGATGATAGAAGATTTATAAATGAGTCTCATTACGAATACGTCGCATGTATCGCGTTGTCACGTGCCTTGTAAAAAATCATAAAAATGTGACTTGAGCAACTGACGAGTAACGCTGGTTCAGCGCAGATTTTCCTCGCGCTTTGGACTTTGAACCCTGGCTAACAAGCAGATCCGCCGCAAGCTCGTGCAGCTCTGTCAGAATACATGCAATTTGTGCGTGTATTAGAAAACATAACGCTCTGCAGTTTATTTACTAATTGTTTAAGGCCATTTCGCGATTTCAATCATCATACAGTAACTAGCAACAATCACACCTTCCTCCAACACTTTTTGTACTATTTTCGGCTAAATAATTTCAGTTACCGAACATTCGGTGCATCCCTAGTAAATGCATATTAAAGTTCATAAGTGCAGCGCTGCTTTGTTTACAGCGGAAACCAAGGAAACGCTTTAAGCGCCACCTGCTGGCAGAGAGTGAATCTGCGTCTCATTCAGCTCGTCTGCTGTTTCTGTTTCATGCAGATGTTTTTTATGCATAGTTTCACAAAACTGAAGTCAAACCATTGTTATTGCTTCAAATTTCTAAATTGTACGATGTAATTTAGATTAAAAACTGCTCATGTTGCATGTAGCCTATGCAGCATCTTTGTTTGGATCGTGATTAAAATGCAGTGGTTGCCTCTAATTTTCAATGGAAAGAGCACAGACAAAACCTTAGTTTGTTTATATGAAGAGATTTCTTTTATTTGTGTTACTTATTTATTTGATTTGGGGCTTGTTTTAAAATTTCAATTTAGTTTTGTTATTTACATTTACATTGTATTTAAATTTTGTTATTTAGCAAACGCTTTTATCCAAAGCAACTAACAAATGAGGATAATAAAAGCAATCAAAACCAACAAAAGATCAATAATTTACAAGTGCTATGTTAGTATATTATTATAGCGTTAGCCTATATTATAATTTCACAAAGAAATGTACAGTATTTTGTCCAAGCAATAATAAATGGACGCATTTAATTTATAATTTGTCTTAAATCTCATTTTGTTAAAAAAAATTGTGAAGCGAATCGTAAAATCAAAATCGTGAATCGAATCGTGAGTTGAGTGAATCGTTACATCCCTACTTGTTAGGCTACGTTCACACTGCAGGCAAATGTGGCCCAAATCTGATTTTTTTGCTCACACGTGACTCGGATCTGTTTTAGTCACGACAGTGTGAACAGCACAAACTGCATGGAATCTGACTGAATTACTTTTTTTTTTTGTGAGTTGAGTGAATCGTTACATCCCTACTTGTTAGGCTACGTTCACACTGCAGGCAAATGTGGCCCAAATCTGATTTTTTTGCTCACACGTGACTCGGATCTGTTTTAGTCACGACAGTGTGAACAGCACAAACTGCATGGAATCTGACTGAATTACTTTTTTTTTTTTTTTTTACTCGCA